TATATATACATATAAGTATCTTTTCCAAATCGATCTGAACGAAAGGACAAAGAAAGGAGGCGAAAAAAAGGAAATTTGACATTGGATGATTCCTGTTTAACGCCTGTCCATTGTGATTAGATTTCAATGATCGATGTTTTGCTCGTTCTTTCCTTGAAAAGAAGAGGCATTCATAGTTTTACGATCGATGACGGGCCTCGCAACAAATAGTATTAGAATGACTATCAAACGACAATTCAAATGAAAAGTATTCACGTTCGTACGATAAAAAAGAAATTAACGATACCTTAGATAATTCTTTTTGATACTCTACAAGATTTATTATATTTATTGTACCTATACCTAGAATCTTGTCTCGTGAAAGCTCGTGTTTCTTGATAATCATCGTGACGACTATCTTCAAGCATTTCGATGCATTTTCAAGCGCATTTTACGTTAGTTTCGATTTTGGAAAGTTCTCGTAGTTTAAAGGGAACGTAAATTTTGCTGTTAATTAAATTGTAAACAAATTCGAGGATGGAGCATTAGATTTATTTACGCGATCGACGTAATGTAACAGAGAGTTCGACTTTCGACTGGAACAGGAAAAATAGTAAAAGATAAATCTTTGAAAGAGTTATCGTATTTTGTATTGAGTAGTGAAAAATTGTTATTCTACTTGTCGTGACCCATCGTACTAAGAGAGGTTTATTCACGTTGATTCTACGTTTATTCAATCGTTCATTTACATAATTTGTCGTCGAATCAAGTCGACTGTATATTTTACGTTTTGTACATATTGTAGTTCTGTTAATATCTAGTCAAAGTATTTGATATGGATCTTATCGTTTAGAAGTTCACTCTTCCGCCCATCCGAGAACACTCCGTTTTAAGTTTATGACTGAATTATTAATGAAATATGTTCATATGTATAGCAAAAATTTCTGTATAATTTATGTTGAATATAAAAGAAGATGAAGACAGTTGTTTATCTTGTTACAATCGTTCAGTGAACATCTGCGTGAACTCCGCGCAGAACTCTGTTGTATAATAAGCTCGAATGTGAATTAAGTGAGTCGGAAATTTTTATTAAAAAAAGAACGATACCTATACAAGTATTTAAGTACAAAGCACGTGTAGATATACTGTTCCACCAAACATTCGATGTATGTATATAAAGTGTATATACATAATCTCTCTCTATATATGTACATAAATTTATTTAATTTCTACAATTCTTTTACGTCTGCTTTATTTTTTCTCATCGTTTTTCTTCGTGTTATTTTTTTTTTTTTTAATTTAATCGATCGATGTATTGTAGAATACAGCATACCCCTGATTGACGATGACGAGGTCAATCGCAACGATGGGCCGTTTGAGGAGTACATAAACTGCGGTGAGAACTCCGCGTATTTGTCCGGAAGACTGTATGTGTAAATGTCATTGTTTGTAAAGTTCTTTGGTATACTCGTGTTCAAACACATTCATCAGAACAATGTTAATAATAATTTAAGCATTCCCTTTCCGATTTATTTTCCTTTTCCACTGTCGTAATACACTGGCAAAATCCATAAATCCTTCAAGTTATCGTCGATGGTTCCAGTTTCAAACTAATAAAAAAGTTTTCCCGATCTTCTCTATATCGAGCCTTCAATAAAAATTCCCTCGTGAACGAGTGTCCCGGAAACTCATATCCTTGAGCTCGTTTCTGACAATCCATCAGCCAAGTTACTACTTCGAGAACGCGTTTCATCTTCGGGTCCATATCCCTTAATCTATATTGTTCTTTCAGGAGAATTTTTCGCCTTAAGACTATATTGTTCCACCGATAAAAATATTTCCACGCCAAATCTTGTTCCCTCGTCGTCCACGCTAAGTCAGTCTTTTCCTCGTAAATCGTTTTTTGATCCCTCTTATGTTTCATCCTGTTTAGAACGGACGCAAGAACACTTTTGCCAGAGCTTTGCTTGTGTTCTAAACTTTGATTACTTTTCGTTACACTGTCCTCTTTATTGTTAGCAACAGTCTCTCTCGCAGACACTTTTCTATGGCCCGGTTTGTTATTAACACGGTTAATATGATTGTACTCCTGATGATGTTTTGGCTTATTGAGATTCAAAAGTTTCACCAAGAGATCGCCGACATGCGGCATGCAAGGCGGATTATCTTCCGCCTTAGCCCAAGCCCGACGATATGCCACAGTACATGGACTTTTGTAAAGTTTAGAAAGTCTTTCCATAGCCTCATACCTAAAATAATACGATAAATATATTTTTGTAACACACGCAAGATTTTCGCTATTTTTCGTACCTATTATGCCGGCCTAAAGTGACTGTTTTCTGACCGAGGACTGGTCAGATCTGAAAGAAAGTTTACACCCGGTTAAGCGGGCGTAAAGTTTCTTTTGATGATTTTCTAGAAATCGGATTTATGCCAAATTTGGTATACGAGGTTTTTTTTGGGGTCGCTGATCACGAATCTGAAGTCAGATTTTTAAAATTCAGTCCCGCAGAACACGTATGAAAAACCGCGAAAATACGTCCGTGCGTTACAAAAAATATGGTGTGCACCAAGGGCTAGGTGGGCTTTTTTAGGTCAAAAGCCCTTGGTACACAATACACTATTACCATATACAGGATGTCCCAAAACTAGTGTAAGATATTGAAATGGGAGGTTCCTGACGTAATTTTAAACAACATTTTCCTTAGCGAAAAAGTTATTCGAGGCGTGGTTGAGGAGTTATTAACAAAATATCCCGACCAATTAGAGCACTCGGGAGCGTTGGCTCGGATCCGGACGCCCAGTTTGTGACGCGTAAACAAGTGCTTCGCTCAATATGAAGCGTTTTAAAAAAATAACGAATAATAAACTACATGAATAACAATGCAAGGAAATTAATAACAATTAATACATTTAATCATTATTCAAATGGAATGGAAATGATAGATTGTTGATAGGCCGGGCGTCCGGATTCGAGCCAACGCTCCCAAACGAGAGCTCGCGCCAACCGAGCGCTCTGATTGGTCGGGGTTTCTTGTTAATAACTCTTCAACCACGCCTCGGACAACTTTTTCGCTAAGGAAAATGTTTAAAATTATGTCAGGAACCTTCCATTTCAATATCTTCGTTGTACGGAGAGAAAAAGGCTAAACGGACCTTGTCCAAGAGCCTTGTGATACTGGGCTTATCCAGTTCAGAAAAACGGATATCTAAATAAATAAATCAATATCTTACACTAGTTTTGGGACATCCTGTATTTAAGGTAGCTCACTATTCACTTATTTATAACTTATCAAGAAAGGGCCGTACAATAGACTTATTTTAAAATAAGAATATGAAGTGAAAAATTTCATTATTAAATGT